GATGAATTGTCCTGGAGTAATAAATGAACATATAAACCTGCGGGAAATGGAGTCTTTATATAGCAGAGAATATATACTGATGAGAGCTAGTAAGCCTGATTGGATGGAAGGGAAAAAATTAAGAAAAAATTATTTTTTTAATCATAAAATCATGTTCAATATTTGAATTTTATGGTCTAGATAGATATATCACATAATAAATTTGATTAAACACGATGTATTTATCCCATTTGTACAGGATAGACAATTTCCAGCATCATTTATGTTCGGCATGAAAGAATCTCACTAGATCGGAAAGATATTCAAAGAGGTTTTGGACAAAAGTCCAGTTCAAAAACACTTCGGTCGGTTCAACCACAACAGGAAATAGATACACCTCAGGTGGAAACATACAGCTGGAAACCCCTACTATATGTGAAGTTAAATAGCAAGCAACACTGGCCATGCAGCTAGAGTCTCACCGCCTTTAATTCTATCGAGGAAATCTTGAGAAGCTGGATCTTCGGGGAATAATCAAGGCACTGGAATTCAATGCGACAGCCAATGGGATACTCTCATATTTTATATGTCCCGTTAATGCTTGTTTGGATGCCAATAATTAGATGCATTGGATTCTTTAGCCTAGGCCCCGCTCCTCGTGAGACATGTCCAGTTTCGTTCTTGGGCCGAAACGGCACAGGTTAAGGAATAACATGTTGTGGGCCAGACTTGTTTGATTATCCAGGTACAATGCCGCTAATTTTCACCACATTCTTTTCTCTTTTCCTTGTTTTTTCTTTCAATTATGTTTCATGCTTACCGTGCTAGGTTTGAAACGGTTCAAGATTCAAGTTACAAATTGTTAGATCAACTTGCATGTGATGGTTAAATATAAATATATATTAAAACTACATCATTTGTTTAAAAAATAAAATTTAAAGTTGATTAAACTAAGTTAACGAGTCATGAGTTAATTCATATGATAATCTAATTTAATCAAAGTATTTTTTAAAATATATCAAATAAAAATCTTCTCGAGGTTTTAGATCAATAACATGTCATACCGGGTTGGTAACTACGCTAAGAAAGAGTTACTGCCAATTGTTACTAAATGACCCATTTTGCTAAATGAGTCTAAACACTGTTCAGGGTAGAGGTTTGCTTCTACATTTCCAATTCCTATCTGTTGTGCAGCTTGCGTCCCTTATTGAATCAGTTGGAAGCCATATGATCCTCGTCCTTTCTTCTCTTTTTAATCATAGGTTCACCTCTTAAACTCTAGAAAGATTTTATTGCAAAAATGTCCTAATAGTTGTAGTGTTGTTAGTACGACTATGTTAATAACGTTCGAGCATGTGTTTTTCATCTCTCTTCGTTATGTATTATCAGATATTTATACATCCAACGAAACATTCAAGCCATAGTGAAATTTTTACATTATTACCAACTTTTGTTCTATACATCAATGGCCGGATATGTATGCATTTGTTAAATGATAAAATGTAATTGATATTGGGTTTTCACCAAAAAAAAAAAATCAGTTTCAATTTTATTAGCCCAGAGAATATTTGTTAATGAAATCCAAGTCGTAAATAAGAAACTAGCTCGAAGAACATCATTTAGTGCTTAATTATACAATTCGCAAATGCAAGGATTCAAGGAGAGTGGCACCCTCAAACTTTGAGGGAGTTTACAGCTTAGTCCTAAAATCCTTAAAAGAACCATTAGAACTAAGACTTATTTTTTAGGAAATATATATTTTGCACCTCCGAAAATCAGGTGTTATATCTATAACATTTCATTTGATATTTTATTTCTAAAACTATACCAAATATTTTCATCTATATTGACACCCCATCTGTAAAGTTCTAGTTCCGCCCATATGCATGGCGTAGTGACAAAAATGCTATCATTGATAAAAACGTACACCATGAAAAAATAATACATCGACATGTGATTTGCCTAGCTAGCTGGTGCATGTGAGTGATTGTGACGTTTGAGGAATGCTAGTAAGTGATGGCTTACAGAAAGAACCCTAGCTATTTCTCTATAGTTTTTCCCCTTTTTCTTATCACTGGATGGTAGCTCAGGAATAAAGACATAAATGTAGACTGTGATCAGGACTCGAGATATACAGCCTTCCGTGAAGGAAAGGATGGCCATTCGTAGGAGCAAAATAACAACAAAACCATGATGGCGTGGTAACTTCCTAACCCTGCGTGGTACCATATGCCACAGATGTGATGATAGAGAGGATTCCACCTTCACGGGCTGGACTTCGTCAGTAAAATTCAATACAGAATCATGTCCCCCAAGAGATACCAACAAATCTTGCCTGCCTTTCCATGGCTTTCCTTGTTTGTCCACACTGAAAATAACTCCTGGTGTTTTGATGTTTTAACATCTCTCTATGTACCCTGCATGACGGCCTATCGATCAGTATTGCATTTGCCTGTGGAAAAATCTAAAGGCATGACTCTGAAAATAGTTTCTTTCCCTTGTGATGCAGTAGTTATTATTTATTTCAAAACAGTTTAATTAACTGGATCGAGGGCTTGGACGTCGAGCAGAAATGATTCTGGATCATGATTGGATTCACAAGTAATCAGCTAAATTATAACCGGCTCCAGTTCCACACCTATACGCTCGATGTATATATACATCATTTTCTAGTATATTTTTTTTAAGAAAAACCAAAGAGATCCTTGGAACCCTCTTTTGACATCTAGTTTTCAAGGTAATGAGACTCCCTTGTCAGTCACTGGTAATACATGCACAGGGATTGTAACGAGTATATATTCACATGTTAATCAGTGAAAAATCTATATTTTATAAATCATCTATATTTATTATCTTACTGTTATTTATTATTTGACAAAAAATAAAATATATATATTCAAAATATGTATATATATTAAATGATAAAATTACAAAAACTATATATATATATATATATATATATATATATTGAATTAGGTTTATGCGAGTTTTGAGTGGGTTAAATAATATTTATATTTTATTTATTATCAATCAGATAAAATAATTATTCAAAAAAATACTTATTTATTTAGATTATATAGCTGCCCATCACTTTGGAATTAAACTACCATATATGTACATAAAAGTTAATGAAATCAGTTAATGTCGTTCTCTGTAACTGACTCTTGTTAGAAGTGACGGGTTATACCTCTTAAAAAATTAATGTTAATCACCACCTATATTGGTGAAAGTAATTGCATGACAAATTATATGGCTAGGAGTGTGGAAATCGAGTGAATTTGTTACCTAGTTTTGACTCCATTTTTTTGTGGCCTTGCTCTTATGTTCTTATGTCTTCTATTATTATATCTTTGGGTTATGTTCATTTGGTTTTATAAAGGAATGTCTGGCTTTAAACTTATTTGGATAGATATTTTATGGTTTTTTTTTATTTTTGTTTGTCTTAAACTGCGCTTTATCTTATATATAATTTTTTGTCATGGTAAAATATTATGTAGCTTCTGTACTACTCCCGTCAGACTTTAGCATTTAAACAATATACTATTCTTTCAAAAAAAATCACCACCTATATGAAAATGAGTTTAGTACACTATGCGAATTTCCAATGCCAAAGGCCGTTCGAAAGAGTCACGTTGTCTATATATATAGCATTTGAAATACTGTAATTTAGCTTCTTCTTTTATTCCTCACGTGTTACTCTAATGGGGAAAATGTATTTTAACAAGTCATTTTGTATCCTACATAGAATGAAGAAAGAGAAAAGGTACATAGGTTTTTTCTTAAAATTTATAGCTCCCCTAAAAAAATATATAGGAATAGCTTTTTCAGAACATCTTCAATGATAAAAATTATTTAGAAGCCTAAAATTATTGATATAACTTTTAAAAAAATATAAATATTATTATTATTACAGTCTTTATCTCTATTATTATAAGCTATCATCATTCCCTTCTTGTGAGTCATTTTTACCTTTTTATTGAAACAAAAAAAGTAATTATTAAAAAATTATTTATTATACATTTTGATTTTGAGTTATTATTCCAAACACATTCTTCGATTTTTGAAAAGGCATTCCTTACTCTTTAGGAATTTAGTAAAACTTGAAATCTTATGTGTGCAAGTTATGAAATTTAAGGAGGCAGGGTTAATTAAGAGAATTCTTAAAATTCCAGGGAGTTTGTTAAGTTAGGAAGACCTCTCTAAAAGCTTCAGGAGATTCGTATTATTTAATGTATGACTGCTAATTGAATTTCAGAGGAGGAGGAGTTTAAAGGGTTAATGAAATAATTTAAGTTTAGGGCTTCACAAACCGTCCAAACCTTAAAGAGAGATGTCTTATAACATCTTTGTCCAGCAATGTGTCACCCGCCATTTTCAAAATTCAACCTCTACTATAACGCAAGTACCCCATTGCAGATGGATGATCCCTAGGAAACTGCCAACCAATCGATCTGCCAATCGCAGGCCGAAGCCCAGTCTGGGGGACCGAAACCTGCGATTGTGTGCGTAGTTGGGTCATGGATACCCGGAAGCCTACACCGCATATATCTTACTCTCATCCCCTTGGACACCAGTGCCAACCCCACTGGCTTGGCTGTTACCTCTATCATATACAAAATCACGGGAAAGCAGAGGCTCCGTCAGTTGTCATCGCAGGAGAGAGACTAGGAGAAGATAGCTAGCTAATTTCTTCCTAACCTGAGCTTCTTTTGTTATTATGCCCAAAACGGAAATGCAGCATAGGTTACATCTTATCCCCGGAGCATAATCTCTTTGCCCATCAAATCATATTTAATTATTCTATGTGATCTCCGACGGTGAGGAAAAGCTGGTGAAACCAAGACCAGCCATCGACGTAGCCTGCTGGTCTGAGATTAATACACGACCCATGGGGTCAGGGTTGAGGCTGGCTGGTAAGAACAGAAAGCAGCCTGGTGGAAAGTAAAAGAAGAATATCTAAAAGTTCAGTTTTACAGGAGGTCTGTGGCAAAAATAAGCAACAACGCAACTTGCTTCACAGCAATCAGTAATTCAGTATGGCACTGATGCTCGTGGTGATTCATAAGCAACTTGGATCAAATCATGTCTTACTGATACCTGATTGGATGTACGAATTAAAGGCCTATTTACACCCATTAAAAATATAAATTATAAACTCATTCCCCCCCAGGTCGAGCATAACTAATACAACAATGGATATCATAGAAATGTGGAGAAATAAAAAAAAAAAATTGAAGGGCAAAAAATTCCTGGTCGCTGGAGACTGGGGACTGGAGCCTTTTACTGATTGAATACATCGCCAGAAGAGGGAGCACGCTGGAAAATGTTATGGCGCCAGGCTCTCTGGGTTCGATTAGAATTTCTATACCATCATAAGTGATGATAAGATCTCCCCCGTTATTCGCGAAGAAGCATCTCCCTCGTTATCTACCCCCACACCAGAGTTGAGCACTGCCGCGTCCAAAACTAGCTTCCATTTTGCCATCTCGTTAACAGTCTCATCAACCGTGCCCTTGGTCACCATTCTGCAAAGGATGGAGCGGAGTCAAATGACACCATTTTTTTTACTTGAAAAAAATTAAAATATGTAGAATGGTGAGAGGGAAAAACGATAGATGGGGTTTGTCCGTAATTATTTCCTTCAAAGTCTCGGATGGGTTATGAAGTACCTGTTTATGGTGACAGGTTTAGTATGGCCAATGCGATGACAATGATCTTCTACCTGTCGATCAATTTGCGGGTTGAAATCCAAATATGGGGTAATTACATTATCAGCTCCCGTCAAGTTCAATCCCTGACCTCCAGCTCTGGTGGACAGCAGGCATGCTTTCGAAGTGTCATTATTGAAAGCGTCAACTATGTTTTGTTTGTCCATCACCTGAGTACTGTCAATGGATGGAACTGATTAGGCTACAAGGAATTTCTAGTGGCCAGATAAAGAGAAAATTAGGAAACCAATGACCACCATTATGATGTGCAATTCAAAAAGAAAATGCTCAAAAGTCCAGGTAGTTCAAAAGGATGATCATTGTTGTTCTAGGACAATACAAAACTGCCTAAACTATTTTACCAAGTGATGTAGCAATCTGTGGACATAGTTCAATGATGGTAAATATCAAATTGATTGCCCAGATCTATAATTTGAAAAACATTCCCAGATGAATTTTTCACACCAGTTTGTACATCAGATTTAGGAAACAAGTGCAAGTATCCTTAGCTAATACTCAACAAATGATGAAAACCAGCCATTTCGCTTAGTAATAAAAAAATAAAAAATCATGCTTCTCAACATCACTTGAAAGAAAGAAGATTCCCTCCAATTGTGATACTACAGAAGCAGGAACTCTGGAGGAGAACTCTGGGCTGTCCTGCCATTCAATGTTTTTACATCAAATGACTAATCTAAGGCTTCAAATCTTCACGTGGTCACATGCATGCACATGATTTCCACCACAGCACTTCCCACAATGCACAGGCCCCTTAGTGTCAACCAGAGGTCTAGAACATTAAAATACTTAATTTATTTATGCAATTTTTGGATGGTATAAGCCACAGCCATTCATTTGCTTAGATAATGTTTAGCATTGTGATAACATTTGCTTTTCAAAGTTCTTTTCACTCAAAAATACATCAAAATAATATTTTTTTTATTTTAAAAAAATTATTTTTGATATCAACAAATCAAAACGATCCAAAAACATTAAAAAAAATTAATTTAAAGCAAAAAAAAATCATTTTTTTTCAAAATCACAATGCCACCTCAATAACAGTCACAGCCTTACCACATTAGAGAAAACATGAAACCTCCACTGCATGCACTGAAAACAATATTAGCACACCAGGCGCAGACAACAATTGGTTCTAATAATAATAATAATGAATGTCAGATAAGTACAGGGGAGAACCTTCCATCAAGTCTTCTATATGTAACCCCAATTATATCCAAAGTCTACTCTAGGATGTCTAGCATCAAAGTTCACTGGCTAAAAATCAGAACTCGATGCCCGCACTTCCACAGGCCAGGAAGAAGTTCAGCTAATGCCTGCATGATATATGAACTTGCAAATTTTAGCTCACGCATCATATTCCAGCAGAATTTTACATTTCACCTGTTAATTTGAGCTTTCCAAAGAGTATAGACTGTTTTAAGACATCACAAGAACTTCATTATAAGAGTGCAAAAAAAAGACACCATTTCTTCTTTCTATCGTGAACCTAAATAAATCCAAATGTCAATCATTTATAGAAAAGTGAGGAATTAAGAAATAAAGAAGTTTCATTATTTGTACATGAAATCATCTGTAGAGGTGTCCCTGTCAGCATCAAACGCTGGTTTGCATTCCCTGCGACTGACACTGGGTTTTTCCACCTATAGCTGTTCTTGTCCTTCAAAGCATGCGCCTCATCCATTGCAACACGGCTCCACTGCCAATATTTCAGAATTTTAAGGTCATCTTTCTGTTGTGAACAGTATGATCAATGATGAGAATGGATGTGTCACATACATGCAATTTTTATTTTATTTTATTTTATTTTGGGGGGGGGGGGGGGGGGGTTTTTTTTGGGGGGGGGGGATAAAAGTTCTTAATGATAATGACTTGTATCAGAATAAGACACACCTATGTCGCTCAAAAAGAGAGTAGCAGACAAGAAGCACATTAAATAGAGGCAACCCAGCTTTGGCTAATGAACCCAATTCTTTTGAATAGGCAGATCGTGTAGCCCCATGATACTGGAGTGTAGAAAATGATGGACACCACCTTTTCTGTTCTCTTTCCCAGTTCTCCAACAAAGGCAGGACATCATTAAATGTGGACCAGGGTCATTGTGCAAGCATTTCAACAGTGTCAATATGTAATAGCCTGCCACACAAGATCAAATTTATATTGCAACAATAAAAGGTAACCCTATTGTCACAGAAAAGTAAAACAAAAACCAAAAAACATTACAAGTACCTGAATGGTCTTCCCGAGACCCATCTCACCTACTAATATGGCTGCATGGATACAAATGTGAGTGATTATTGATCAGGGTCTTTCCAAAGCACATAATCTAATATCCATATCCAAAAATGACTACACACCCTATTGGTTATTGGGTTAGGCCTGGTCCGCCCATGATGAATGGACGTGGTCCAACTTATTAGAGGAGTTACTAAAGAAAGTAGCCGTCTCCTCTAATCATATATAAAGGGACATAACTCATATGGAAACAATAAAGTTTTTCATTTGTTGAATAATCATTCTTTCTCTTCTCTCATCTTGGACATTCTGCATTACTTTGACAAAGCTTGTAAAGAAGTTCGTATTATGAAATATCACTTTGGTTCTAATAATTGAAGTGGCACTAAAATAACAAATTCAGGGATGCGAATTCTCACAAGTAAGTTTTCCTTACCAATCTACACACCCTAAAGTGCAGCCTCAGAATATGCATTTGATGGAATAGAAATACATCAGCAATATTCCAGCATAAATTAACTTCTTTTGATATACTTGGACCACACCAGTTTCACCGCTAATAACGAGTCCCTGACCAATCCATTCATGTTAAAATTTCAGGGTCCTGGTTGTTATATTTTATCTTCTTAAAATATACAGCCAAAGGTGCAATGTAATTTCAAAAGTAAAGGGGATTCAATCAAGGTAAACAAAGTAACATGAAGATACTTCAAACTATATGTACATAGTTTCCGGATTAATTACCACAGTTTATAATCTTGGATCATAAACTATAATGTCTCAACACTACTATAATAATAGAATGCAGGGCTCCTGAAAGTAGATACGTAACAACACAATGACAATGGAAAAGGGAATAGTAGAATACCTCCAATGCCCTTCCTGTATAGCAGAAGAAGAAAGGTGACACCACCCAGCTGGTATGGCTTAAGTACAGGCTGGAAATCTGAATCTGCAACTGCAGTGCACAGACTGCATCAATGTCGTCCTGCGATTATAAAACAGAGTTTCACCCGTTAAAGACCAGACCCGTCTAAGGGATAACCCTACATGTAGCAAAGACAAATAAATCAGAATTACGGATCATTTTCTTTAGGGATTGCAGAATGCACATGCATGTCCACATACATGCATACCACACACCCATAGATGCAGATGTCTACGCCCACACAGACAGTCTCAGCTAATTTGGGTAACTGGCTAGTTTTTAAGTGAAATCTCTTTTACAATCAACAAAATACACAGAGAAATATCACCATTCCGTCGCATGAATGCTCACAATACTAATGTTATCAAGCTTAGTAAAGCTAAACAAACCAATTTTGAGACAACAAAAAAGATGATTAAGGAAAATCAGTAGTGGTTTTATTGGAAAGGGAGAGCATAAAAGAACATGTTGCCACTCTTTTTCATTTCAAATTTCTCATGATATCTGGACCCTCTGTATTGAATTCAATTTCATAAATGACCAAGGAGATGATTCTTGCAAAAAAAAGAAAGCTACATAAAACCATGATATAACTGAAAGAAACAAAACTTCAGATTTTGAAAAAATGAAAAGAAAAGAGTACCTGAGTAAAAATCCTGACTGAAGAAGTTTCCACCTAGGTATACAGTTCGCGCGAGGTCAATCCAGTGCCGTACAGATCCCTCTACAACTCCGCCGATATTTTAGCGCATTACTGCAATGCTTTACCCACCAAATCATCATCTTCCACCGCCAATTCCTCCTCCACCAATTCCTCCTCGCTCGATTTTACATCATAAACCTCCGCCAAATCCCCACCGCTCTCTCACTCCTCCAACATCACCTCCTCATCTCATCAACCACGAATCGAAGGCCACAATTCCACACTGATGCCTCGTTGTCTCCTCTTCCTCATCCTCCAAGAAGAAATGCTCGGTCACTTCGACGCAATCGTCGTCGTTGCTGATGCTGCCAAAGAGATTTTGACGTGGTTTTGTGAAAGCAAAGGATTCTAAAGAAGAACAAGAAGAATCGATTTGTGTTTGCCATTTAGCGTGGATTGGAAAAGGCGAGAGGGCTTGGAGGAGTGGTTAGCCCACTCGTCTGAGATTTCATTGAAAAAGCGCTTCATTGTGGTGAGAGGGGGGAAAATAAACCCTAGATTGTGGTTGTTTTTTCAACACTAAATTGAGTAGCTGGGTGCTTCAGCTTTGTAGGAAGTGAAGGAGAAGCGCCATTTGTAGTTAGCAAGTCAGAGCGAGCGGTCAAAGGAAGAAAATAAATAAATAAATACATAAATAAAAAGGCGGTTATGAAAGTGACGAGAGCGGACTTGAGAAATAAATTCATTTTGTTTTTCCTTATATTCAAACATTTAAGAAAATTATTTGCATCCTCCGCCTCACTGGAGATTATTAAAAAACAAAAATCAAGAATTTACACGTGTGCAAAAAAAAATTAACAAACGGGCACTTTTAACCGTAAATCACTTTGAATATGGTAAGGGCACGGCATCCACCTGTTTCCGTCATCAAATCAATTTATTAATTAAAAATCGTTCCTGCAATTTTTTACTTTATTTTATTAGTGAACAGTCATAGAGGTAAAAAAAATATTTTTGAGGTTATTTAGAAATATCTCTAAAGATTTTTGAACCTTATAGTATTTTTATTTATTTTTTATATCTCTTTCTTTCTCTTCGAGTGAGCTTACAAGGTAATTATTTGCAGTTATTTTTGAAGTAATATAAAATTTATCAATAAACTCTTATTTGAGCCGTTGTGATACCTCGTCCTCATCGAAGCAAACTACAATGAGATGAGATGGATGGAAGCCAAGCCTTTTCGGTCGTTTTTCCGAACAAAGAACACCAGTGTTAGTCATCATCTATCCGGCCTTTCCCAAGCAATAGTAATAGATCGATAATGGAAAACAATTTGAATAAAGAGGGTTGAGAGAGTTTTTTTTAATGAAATTTGATTGTTTTTTCCCCAAAAAAGTGATAAAAGAAGTGATTTGGAAGGGGTTGCAAGGCCCATACCCACCATTCTATACAAGAATATCTGCTACGCTGTTATCATCACTGTATATTGACATGCTTATAGATAATGAATTCATCTTGGAGCTCATAGTATAGTGATGCTGTTGATAACACCTTGAAGCTTCGAGGTCTGTAACTTGCACTCTTAATAATCCAACCGATGGCATGGAGTCTGATTTCAATAGCATGGTCCACGCAACATTTGCTCTAGAGTACGCGACAGTAATTAGATCAAGGGCTCTTTGAATTGCAGGACTTCAGCATCATTTGATTCATGAATACCTTGGCACTCCAACAATCGCTGACAAACCTGGCTTTCTTAAGGATGAATCAGCGAGTTCCATTTTAAAGTTGTCAAATCCATGTTAATTGACACCTCTTAACCCACAGTGACATCGTCATTGATGATCTAACACAAGTACTTGTATTTTTAAAAGTTGGACTAAAAACTGGATACGTAACTAATCAGACCTAGCATTGAAAGAACTTGAGAGGACCATATAAAATTGAAGGGAAACATGAAATTAAACGTCGTAAACACAAATTAGTTATGTATTTACCAATATGGCATCTGAAGTTATATACGTGTGTGTGTGTGTTCCCATGAGTGGCATATATATATTTATTTATTTTCGGTCTCTTGATCTTATACTAGAATTTATTTTATGAGAGACACAAAACAGCACCGCATGAACATACTTCATCTATATAGACACCCTCTATAAGTTGGTGTCCAGTAATCAGATCCTGCGTTGTCGTGATAAATTTGAGGGGTGGAAGAAACAGGAACTAAACAAAGACCTCTGCTTTTGAGATCAAGTTTCGCATCTCCCTTGTCTTTTCTATCCAAGCCTACCCAGGGATCCTGAAATAAAAGCTGTGGGTGTGTTAATTATAGCTCGAAGGTGCGACTTGACCCTAAGAAAACACACTATATTATATCGCGCACGGCCTTAATTGCTTACATTTTGTGAATTCGAAGTCTTCATGTAAGGATTGCTCAATAGCTGCAAACATAAGGCAGAGTGCTAGCTATCAAGAAATTTATTTATTTATTTACTTAAGTAAATTAAAGGTGTGGATTAAGCTAACATGGCCGACAATATATCCTTATCTTTTTACTATAACCAGTCACACAACCTTTTCTTCCATAATTTCTCATAAAAAAAGATGGAACTCACAATCCTTACAATAAAAGGTGATCCTTAATATTTCCCTTGATATCTATTGTTAACCCTGGACACCATATTTACGTTCTAGTGATCATTAGACAAAGGATATGTCAAGATAAGATGATCACCTGCACTTGCCCTTGCAAGAATTTAATGTATTGAATTGCTTCGTATAGCACCGAGGCTGTATCAGTCTGAAGTTTAAACGAAAAGGAAAAGATATTGATTACAACAAAAAGGGTGGCATAATTAATTAATGAGAGAGATAAAGAAGAATACAAGTATATGTTTTGTTGAAAATAAGTTGTTCATAATGATCATCGTGCTTACCCTTCCAAACGGCGAGACAATTTGCTGAAGGGCCGTGACTCTTTCCGAAAGCTTGACTTTTGATGCTTGCATCTATTAAAACAAAAACACAAAGAAAAGAAGAAATTTCCACTAGCCATTATCATTAGCTTTAATTAGTGCGTCGGTACTCTTCTAATTGGGTAGTCCTAAGGGATGATATATATTAGCGCTCCATCTCTTTATATAATAGCACTCAATCTTTTAAAAAAGAGAGATGAAATTGAAGAAATGAAGAGGGGAAAAGGAGTGCTATCATGATCGTCCGTCCTATATATGTACCTTTACGGATGAAACTGTAGAGCTCTCGTGCTTAGCTTTCTTGACAGCCGTCTCTGAAGTTTCTTCACGTCTTTTCTTTCCTTCATTTGTTGTTCCATGCCCTTTTCCAATCTGCATGCAATATATATACTCAGATACTTTGCTGAGTATTAATTTTCGGCAAATAAAAATTTACCACGTTAACTGATCTGCTCTCAACAAATTATTGATCATGAGGAAGTAATGTTAGAAGCAGCAGTTGCACGGACTAGAGGTCACGTAATTAACATACGGAGAAAGGCAAGCAAAAATTATATATCAATAGCTGATTAATAAAAGATTCTCACCGGAGAAGAAGTTTGGATTCCTTGCTTTCTACTATCAGATAAATTGATCGATTTAAAGCAAGGTTTAGGCACTTGAAAATCAACCAGTGGCTTGCTTAAGCGATTAGTAAACGTTAAATCATCTGCAAAGTTTCTCGCGCTTCTGCTTGTAGCATCAGGCATGCCATAGTAGTATTTGCTGTTATCTCCGACCACGGAGCTGTTGAGGCCAATATGGTATCCAACACCATTGCTATTAAATGACCGTCTAAAAGGGGCCGTAGGTCTTCCACGGTGTTCGTTATCTACTTTAGGATCACGGCTGTAACATGATTGAAAACCTGAGTTTCTGCTTTCTCCCACTAAACATGGTGTGGAGTTGCTGTTAGTTTGATACTGGCTTGAGTAGTGATTATTTACAGAAGGTTTCGGGGATGTGTTGCCTGTCAGTGGATCGAATAATTGCCGTTTTACTTCTGGGTTTGTTGGAGCAATACACAAGTGGCTGACCAACTTGTTCAACCTTCCACTTCCAATCAAGCTCTCACTGCCGTTTAATTGCTTTTCGAAGTTGTTAAAGGACGTAGGATTCGTTAATTCCCAATTGTTGTCCATCTTCTTGAAGTAGTCACAGGCTGGTCCAAATATTCCAGATGACATAGTACTAGTTGTCTTGGATGACAAAGCGTCAAGTAAGTTATCTCCAACGTCTTGACTGTTTTCCAACTCTTCATTGCTTCCAACTCCTCTGGTAGGGTTCAAAACAAATTAAAGCATTAAATTAGTAGAGGTGTTCCACACGGAGAGCAGATAACTTTACCGTTCTTTTTGACAAAAAAGAAATGAAAGATGTCGAATGCAAATTCTTTCAATATGAAGTTAAATTTTTATTTCAAGCAGATCAAATGAAAAACAGACAAAAAATAATATGAAAATATATATAAAAATAAAAGAATAATTCTTGATCCATATTGAACCTCTCTCTAAATGCATCTACCCATTTATCCAATAATATAGCACTAGTTTCTCCCTTTTCTTGTGCTAAAAGATTCTTCTCTCCACACATCATCGTATTCAAATAATATATTTGAACAAAAACATAAATCAAGATGACAAAATAACACTCTCGATGACTAGCCAAAAAAAAAAAAGATGACAAAACAACAGTATGATATTTGTATATGTTATATTTATGTTCCTTTTCATCGATCCAAGAAAAAACTATGTAGCATTTTACTTACGGTGCTATGAAATTAACTTACAATAGAATATGGTTCCAAAGTTGGCTATGATCTGAAGCATGTTCTCCCATCAATTCGGTTGATGAAGAAGGCTCAACGAGTTGGCGAGCGGACTCAACGGTCAGTCCAGAGTGATTAGAAGCATTAGTAAAGGATGTAGATATGGAAAGATCCTCTTCGCAAGTGGAGTTAGAGCTAGGGTTTGACTGTTGCCATGGACTGGTATTAGTCCATGAAGAGAGTGATGCTGCATGGTGAAGATCCCACCAATTTGGTGGAGTGGAGGAAGAGATTGCCACAGAGTCATCAGTGCATTCTTCGGCCATATTAATCTCTAAAGTAGCAAAAATGTTATATTGGAATCCTCTTTTTCTTCTTTCTGTTGGTGGAGGTGTGAATTTAAGGAGGATAGATCACATCTCCATTGGTGGTGACGTACGTACGTTTATAGGTTATATGCATCAATTATAGAGGAGACAATAAATTATGCAACCTGAGTTTCTCCCACTAAGTTTGTGGGCAATTATTATATTGAGGGCTGGACCAGGAAGAGTTTGGCTCAAGGTTGCTAATGTAGGGTTGTTGACAAGTTTGGTTTAGGCTTTATTTTCTTATTGGACAGTATTGGGAGCCTCTCTCTCTCTCTCCCCGCGTGAGATTTAACCAATTTTCTTATGGATAAGGAGCATGACATTAATGAGT